TTTAAGCCACCGGGTCCGGGACACGAACCGTGGTCAGCTACGTGGAAGTCCAGTGACAAAGCCATTACGCTAACTGCTGGTCCCAAGATTTTCTTACATTTTTTTCCTAGAAGTTTTATAACATTTATCTTTTACATTTAGGTATAAGGTCCATTTTGAGTTGCTTTTTGTGTATGATGTCAAGTATGGACCAAACTTCACATTCTGCAATGTAGATATCCAATTGTTGCAGCACTATTTATTGAAAAGACAATCCTTTCTCCACTGAAATTGTCTTTTCAGCTTTGAGAAAAATCAGTTGTCCATGTTCATGTGAATCTATTTAGAATGTCTTTTCTTCTGCTTCATTGGTCTATCTTTATGCCAACACAATATTATCTTGATTTTTGTAGCTTTATAACAAATCTTAAAATCAGCTGAAGTTAGTTCTCCAACTTTGTTATTCTTTTTCCAAGTTTGGTATTCTGTATCATTTGCATTTCTATATGAATTTTAGAATCTCTATGTCAAATGTTTTAGTGTTCACTTTATAATTTTTCTTTTTCAATGTTTGGTGTAAAGAATCCTTCCTGAGATAATATATATTTCTGTTAACTTGGTTAATGTTGATAGTATTTAAGGGCTGAACTATCCTTATATTCTAGAAATAAAGTGTATTTTTAAACAAAAATATTTCGTGTGTGTGTGTGAGAGAGAGAGAGAGAGGTAGACAGAGAGAAAAGTAGGGAGGGAAAGTGAGAGAAAGGCAAGTACCTTCAACAGGGAATCAATACTGTGATTTTTCTCCCCAGCTTTTTCCTGTCAGCCAGGATCATAGGGATGTGTGATCCTGCATGTTTAGGTTGACCTGGGAACCAAATCTTGATCTTCCATATGGCTTCCAGCATTACAGAGTACTGCCCTATTGCTGCACTACTAAGCCTGGGCCTAAAGCTAATTATTATCTGAGATAGTTTTCAAAAAAAATATGGATTTAATTTTCTTATATATATATGAAATATTTTCCTATCTATTATATATTCTTAGGTGATATTTGCTCTCCCCAATATTTTCATGATGTTTGTAGTTGATATCAAGATCATATAATCTTCATAAAATATGTCTTTCTCTATTTTCTGGAGCAGTTTATATGAGGATGAGAGTATCAGGGACCAGCAGTTAGAGTAATGGCTATGTTGCTGGACTCCCATGTAGTCGACTGCGGTTTGAGTCCCAGACCCAGTGGTTTAAACTCATGCCGGGGGCGTGTGCATGCGTGCCCAAGATCCTGAGAGGAGAATGGAGGAGAAGGGATTGCAGTGTGGCTATCCCCCATAGGGGGTTATTTCTTGCTTTCTGTCTCTCTGTCTCTCTCTGTCTTTCTGGCGAGTGCATGCGCCCTATAGCAAAAACATCTAAAAGAAAGGAAAGAAGGAAGGAAGGAAGGAAGGAAGGAAGGAAGGAAGGAAGAAAGAAAGAAAGAAAGAAGAGAATGAGAGTATCAATTTCTTGAACATCTGCTAAAACCAGCTATAGGACTGTCGGGCCCTGCTGCCATTGTAAGAGTCAGGGGGAATGTGAGTTGAGGGAGAGTTTTAATGAATGATTAAGTATCCTCTACATTTTGGTTTTTGGTTTATTCAACTTTTCTATTTTTTTTATCTAAATTGTCAAATCATTGGCCTAAAGATATTCATATAATTTTCTTCTGTTTTTTAAAAATATGGATTGTATTTCTACTGTATTTGTTTACAAGGCCCTATGTTCTTTTTTCCTTTCTTACTGCAGGTTTGTCATTTATAATTATTTTTTACTAGTGTGAATCCTCTTGATTTGGAATTGGCAAGATTTTTATGGTAACAGGTCAGTCAATATTTTGAGATTTTTTTCAATTTACATTCATCACTATACATCTTTGCAGCAGACAAAAGGAATCTTCTCAGCATAAATACACTGCAAATTAATCCAAAGGTATATGTATTATCCTTAACACATAATTTTACACTTCTGTGTCTGTTAATTTCTTTTCCTTTTGTCTGTTTCCCCAGATTCCCTCCCTCCCACCCTCAATGTGCACCCTTCTCCCTCACTGTCTCTAGTATCCACAGTTGTCTGTTTTACAGCTGTCTTTACCTGGCTCATGGGCTCATCGTTCAGGAATCCTCTATTTATTTCTGGTTTCTGAGGTTCCTGTTTTGTGGAAGTGTCAGAAATAGTGTGAACACAGGCCTCAATCAAACTGACTTGCTGCAGACTGTATTACAGAGTTGAAGTTCGCTGGAAGCTATCACAGTAGGCAGTGGTTGGCAATATCTTTTTCAGTTCCTTTTAATGAACTGAGAAACACTGTACAGCTGATGGCACTGAACAATGAACCTGGATTCAGGCCCCCATCCCATCTGGAGCATATCTAGATACTTTTCCCAAAGCTTAATGAAATAATTATCCTCAAGAGTTAAAGCTGTACCTGCTTTAACCTCCTCTAGACCAAATACTAGTGGCTTGTGTCCTCAGCCACATGTAGGCCTTGCAGTTTTGTCCCACTTCTGGCTCATGAAGATGTTTATCTTGTTTTCAGTTCAGCTCTGTCTCTGCTTTTTCACTTTATTACATTCTCTATTACTCATGTGCATCTGGAGTGGAGCAAGTGCACAAGAGCATGAACTTCATGCACCACCGCAGACACCCTTTACTACTCTGATCTAGCTCATGAGAAAAACCTTCACACTGGGAATTTTGAGCTAAGTAAGGGAAGGAATGGACAATTCCTATGTGGGGAAAGCAGCTTCTTAGTAAGTGTGAGTCATCCTTGGCCAGGGAATAATTTCATGTTAATCTGCTCATCGATCATAACAGCTTCAAGAACTGTTTACCTTGACTTATTTTTCAGATCACCATTATGACTTACATGTATAAATCTTTTTCAACCTTTATATATAGATTTATCTAAAACATTGCACAGTATTTGAAGGTAACTGTTAAATTTTGTGGGAAAAGGAGAAAAGCACATATAGTAGTCATTTTAATCTCTGTGTTTTACTTAAAACTTGCTAATTTGTTTTAATTATATACATGCTTTATTAAACTCTAGCTATGAGCAGTAGTAACAGAAACTCATGGATCCAGCTGCAATGGAGCACAGATTATACCATCGCTTAGGAGGCTGGAAGTCACCTGGAATGGGAGGCACAGGAAGCCCACCCCCTCCAGTGGGTGCATGTACCCTATAGCAAAAACTAAAAATAGAAAAAGATATAGGGAAAATAAAAAGGACTGTAAGTATTTTAATAAAAATAACCAAAAATAGAATTAAGTGATGGATTGTAAAGTTACAAACAGTTTCTAAATGAATTTTGAAAAAAATAAGTAGTCATGAAGAATATAATATAGGGCCTAGTGGTTAAGAGAACCAAATCCTTCATGTCTGATGTGGTTCAGGTCCTGGACCTGGTGGCTTGAGGAACACACTGGACATGTGCACATGTGTGCCCCAAATCCCAACAGGATGGAGAAATGGAGAAGAGACTGCAGCATGACCATGCCCCATTGGGGGTGCTTTCTCCCTTTCCCTTTCTCTCTATGGGAAGCACATATGTCCTCTGGCAAATTTTAAAAGAAGAATATAATCTACATTTGTAAAACGTTTTTTGCATGTAGTTTGCTGTAAAATCATGGGAAACTAAAAATACAAGCATTAGAAAAGATGTGCTATTACTACATACACAAAGGAATGTACGGTGTAGTCCAAGTATAGGAGTTTTTGCCACTGTGAGGTTATACTTATCTAAATTCCCTCAAGGGCATGGGAAAGCACTTCAGATTTCTATATTCAAAGTTTGACTCATTTTAAATTTATTTATTCTATGCTAGTTGCTAGGAAATAATAATAAATATCAAATAAATCTGCCTCCATGGAACCCACCTTCTCATAGGCAAGTGAGATAAAAAAAAAAAAACAATGGCCAAGATCAATAAGACCTCCCTGCAACCTCTGGGAGTTGGGAAACAGAGCAGCCCTTGTATCACAGGTGTGCACAGGACTAGGATAATACCGTACAAAGAAAAGTATGGAGAGAAATACCACCCAGCAAGGGCCTTTGAACTAAGTTTTATTTTTTAAAAAATTTATTTCTTGGGACCAGCAGATGGCATAATGGTTAAGTTGCTTGACTACCACGTAGCTGACTGCAGTTTGAGTCTCGGACCTGGTGGCTTAAAACTCACGCCAACCACGTGTGTGTGCATGCCCAAAATCCCAAGAGGAGAATGGAAGAGAAGGCACTGCAGTGTGGCCATCCCCCCAGGGGGTGATTTCTCGCTTTCTGTCTCTCTATCTGGCAAGCACACGTGCCCTATAGCAAAAATCTCTCTCTCTAGTAAAAAAGTGTTTACTTATTCACGATAGAGGTCATTTGTGTGCACATAAGAGACTGAGAGACAGTGCCCTCCATACGGCCAGGTTTACTGCAATTCTCTCCTCCAGTGCTCTAACAAATTAGATCTCAGGCACTTGCACATGTGCCTGGCATGTTTCAAGTCGACTGGGTCAGGGATATGAACCACAGTTGCCAGGTAGGATCTGGCTTTTCATGAGCAGCAAACTACCACCACCCCACAGCCAGCCCAGAATGAAGTCTTTTTAATAAAAAAGATTTATTTACTCAATTTTGTTTATTATTCTTAATGTTTTCAATTTGCCATAGGACATATGTGATCACCAGAAAGAGACAGAAGGGAAGAGAGAGTGAGAAAGTAAGCAGCAAGCCACCAGGTCTAAGAGAGGGAAAGGGAGAAAGCAAACCACCAGGTCTTGGACTTAAAACATGGTCAGCCATGTGGGAGTCCAGCACCTTAACCATCACACCACTTGCAAGCCCCTGAACTAAATCTTAAAGGCTTAAGAGAAAATTCTAGAAAGTATAGAAAAAGATGGTGTTCTACCTTTCCAAAGGCACTGGAGTGTATGGTGGTGTGTTTTCTCCAGGTAGAGACTATAAAATCTATTGCTCTAAAACTCTTACCTTCCCTTCTTTAATCTTGGTTCCAATTATTTGTCGTCTTTGTTGAATGATCTCAATGAGAAGATCACACTCCTCAGTCAGTTTGGCTTCTTGACGTGATGCATTGACCTACAGAATAGACAGAATGGCTAAGTGTTAATCTGGCTTTTGTTTTCAGTGAAATGTCATTTTTAAAATGTAGAGTCATGTCTCTAGTAACCTCTGAAAAGATGTTTTAGATGTCAACTCATCTTCCAATTTGTAAGGATGGCAAATACAGGACTTACATGTGTATTCCCAATTGTGCATCCTTGGAAAACATTATAATTCAATGACAGCAGTCTTTTCTTCTGAGACAGACTCAGTCTTAGAACTTTCTTCATACAACATGTACATAGCTATTAACAAGTAATTGGAAATTAATATGTGAAATACATTTGCAATTCCTTTTTATGTTTTGGGGGAATAGAGAGTCAAATTTGTTCCACTAAACATAAAAGTTAGAAAGCAATCTTATTCTTTTATGGAGGACAAATTACTCTCAATGTCTCTTAAATACATTTTCTAAATGGAATGTAGCAAGCTTACTTACTTCATATTTATTTAACATTTAAAAAATACAGACATGGATTTTGAATTTAATCACTATAAAACAAACACACAACAAGACGGTTTACTATTTTTTTAATCTTATGACATAATTTAAAATTTTACCCCTGGTATACGTCTGAAAGACTAAGGTCCTTCAATGAAAGTATACTATTCTTGTGGAAAGGTGGACCATTACAGAATGGTTTGTATTTGAGGTTCTTCAGACTCATTGTATGCAAGGGAAGGTTACAATTAGCTCATTCTTGGCAACTGGACTTGGGAAATACTCTGCACGTGCTATTTCCTCTACCTCATGACAATTCTGAAATGCTTATTCACAAACAGAAACTCAGAAATCACAGCTGTGGGAGATGGAGAGAGCATGTATGAGTATTATTATTTTAAATAGCCATTGGAGAAGTTGCAATGTTACAAAGAATGACAATGGCAATGATTGTTCTAGTATATTTCAGGGAGGAGACATGGCCCAGTTATTAGCCCATTTGATTTTGGGGAACATTAACTGGAGTAATTTCATTCTCTATGAATGACATAAAGTGAGAAGTAGGGTCATGAGTTCAGGATAAAAATCCACTGACAGCCACTCAGCGAAACCATGTCCTGTTTCCAGAGGCCCAGGACTCCTTGAATTTTATTCCTTATAATTATCAAACATGACAGAAACTATTCCCGACATCTTATTGAGGAGATGATTTTGTCACTGGCCATTGGCAACAAACTGTGAGTTCATGTCCTACATCAGATTAGTACACAGAGGTATTTTTGAAATAATTGTTTAATGAATGAAGAAAAAAATTGAAAATGCATTGATTGAGAAGTACCGAATGTAGAACTCGAACTAATATTTCAAGAGAGATAATCACTGGATTCAATTACTCTTACCACTACTTTTATGCTATCATTTATAATTCCTCTTGAGGTTTGCCAAATACATTTAGCTATCTATCAAAGCTCTCTACTTGAAACTTACTCTCAAAAAATGTCTTGTCTTTCTTTGTAACCTAAAACTGAATTTAATAACTGACCACAACTGGGCCATCCTGTGGTGTGGTGGTTATGAGAGTTGGATCCCTCATGGCTGACTACACAGTTTGAGTCCTGGACCCAAGGGTTCAAGAAACATACCAGGCATTGTTCATGCATGCCCAAAGTCCTGAAAGTACAGAAGAGAAAAGATTGTAGTGTGACCATTCCCCATGGGGGGTACTTTCTCTCTCTCTCCCTCCATCCAGTGAGGGCATGCACCCTCTGTCAAATTAAAAAAAAAAAAAAGACCATTATTGCACTATGAAAAGGATGGGACCATATTGCTAACATGGGCTCACTATGATAGAGGAAGTGAAATTTCTGGAAGGTAGCATTGATGAAAATTGTTTGCTTGACCAATTTTTAGTCAGGCTCCTGAACTTTCCCCTAGGCTCAATCTGTGCACTTCCTTGTAAAATCCTGTTTTAGTGAGAGCCCTGCTAAGCTGATTTAGCCAGAAACCCTCATTTTCTATGTCTGATCACCCTCGATATATGACTGGATTATTTAACCTTCCCCTTCCCCTCCCCCCCACCAAGTGACATCTGATCCCCTAGCCAGCCTTTTGTAATATTCCTAGTAGGTTGGTTTAGCCAAAAGTCCTTTTGCTCCAGATGTTTCCTCTTGGTAATTTTTCATCCACTGACCCCACCCTACTCTTTGACTATAAATCCTCACTTGTCCACATGGTATCAAGAATTCTGACCAGTTCTAGACTGAGATCTCTTTTTCTCTAATTGTCCTGAATAGTCTGTTTTTACTGCTTTAACTACTGTCCAGCTTTGGCTTGTATTTTTATTTCTTTTTTATTTTAATTTTGTTCAAGTAGAGCATGTGTACACATGAGAGAGAGAGAGAGAGAGAGAGAGAGAGAGAGAGAGGAGAGAGAGAGAGAGAGGAGGGAGGGAGGCATACATCCTCAACAGGGTCTCATCACAGCATGATCCCTTTCCCACATCCCTCCAACTTGTCAGGATGTCAGACACATGAGCACCTGGCATATTTTCTGGTTGACCAGGAATCTGAATCCATGGTTCTGCATGCCATGTTCTGTGTGCTACCACCTATGGCCCAGTTCTGATATTCTTTTGACAGTACCTTAGACTTGAAAATTGTGTGCTAGAAAAGACCCTAAAAGCTATGTTGTATTTGAGAATACAATGAAGGTAAATCTGATAGGACATAAGCTCCAAAAGGGCAGGGATCTTCGGCTATTGAATTGAATGAAGTATCTATCCCAGGTGCCTGGTGCCATGTCTGGTATAGAACAGGTTTTCAAAGGTATCTGTCGAATAAATAGCTAGTGAAAATGGCCATCCAGGATGAGAAAGAGCAAAATGTAATGAGGCAATCGTCACCTCTAGCAATCTCTCAGCATATAGGTAATGGATTTATTGGTTTTCTATGACTATAGAGACACAAAATTACATCCCAAGGATTGTTTTATTTGTGAGGGAGGAAAGAAAGGAGTTGACTTTTTCTTCTTCTTCTTTTTTTTTTTTTTGGAGAGGTTTTTGCTATAGGGCATGTGCACTCACCAGAAAGACAGAGAGAGGCAGAGACAGAAAGCGAGAAATCACCCCCAGGGGGGATGGCCACGCTGCAATCCCTTCTCCTCCATTCTCCTCCCGGGATCTTGGGCACGCACGCACACGCGCTCGGCATGAGTTTAAGCCACCAGGTCTGGGATTCAAACCGCAGTCAACTATGTGGGAGTCCAGCCACATAGCCATTAGGCTAACTGCTGGCCCTTTGACTTTTTCTTAACAGCTGTATTGGAATTTATTTCATATATCATAAAATGCACCCATTTAATGTACAGTTTTGTGATTTCTAGAGTATTCACAGGGGATTTCATGTACAATCATCATCACAATCAAATTTTAGAATGCACTCTATATTCAAAAAGAAAACTCATTCTTATTTGTTGTTACTTCATGTTCTCATCATCTGACACTCCAGGCCCTGGGAACCACTTCTCTGCCTCTTTATGGGTATGCCTGTTCTGGATATTTCATATAAATGGAATCAAATAATGTGATTTTTTTCTGTCTTCTTTCACTTAGCATAATGTTTTCAAGGTTCATCCATATTGTAGCATGTGCCAGCACTTCATTCCTTTTTATGCCCAATAATATTCCACTATATTGATAGACCAATTTTGTTTAGCCATTCTTCAGTAGATGGACATATGTGTCATTTCTCTTTTTTTTTTGGTTACTATAAATATTACTATGAACATTCATGGACAAGTTTTTGTGTGCACATATGTATTCATCTTTCTTTGACATAGAAGTAGAATTGCTAGGTTGCATGTCAACTCTGATTTCACTTTTTGAGGAATTGTCAAACTGTTGTCCAAAGAGTTTCATCATTTTATATTCCCACCAGAAATACACAAGGGTTCCAGATTCTCCACATCCTTGTCACTGCTTGTTATTATCTGTCTTTTTCAATGTATTCATCCTGGTGGGTGAGAAGTGGCATCTCTCTGGTGACTATTGATTTGACCACCTCTTCTTGTACTTATTGCCTACCTGTATATCTACTTTGGAGACAGGATTATTTAGATGCTTTGCTCATTTTGTAATTTGGTCATTTGTCTTCTAATTATTAAATTATATATCTTTTTTTTTGGGGGGGGAAGAGGTTTTTGCTATAGGGTGCATGCACTCACCAGAAAGACAGAGAAAGACAGATAGAAAGTGAGAAATCACCCCCCAGGGGGTTGGCCACGCCACAATCCCTTCTCCTCCATTCTCCTCTCCAGATCTTGGGCATGCACGCACACTTGCCCAGTGTGAGTTTAAGCCACTGTGTCCGGGACTCGAACCACGGTCAGCTACATGGGAGTCCAGCGACATAGCCATTACGCTAACTGCTGGTCCCTGAATTGTATTTCTTAATCTATCCTGGATACAAGGCCCTTAAGTGATATATAATTTGCAAGGATCTCCTGTCATTCTGTGGGCTGTCTTTCCTTTTTCTTCATGGTGCCCTTTGAAGTGAAAAGTTGTTTTCTTTTTTAAATTTTAGTGAAGTCTGATCTACTTTCCTATTGTAATTTGTGCTTTTGCTGTCATATCAAAGAAACCGTTGCCCAAGTCAAGGTCATAAAGATTTACTGCTCAGTTTTTCTCCGTGAATTGTGTCTTTAATATTTAGCGCTACGAGCCATTTTGAGTTTGAGTGGGAGGTAAGATACTACCTTCATTGTTTTGCTTATGGATATCCAGTAGTCTCAGCACCACAGATCGAAAAGAACATTCTTTTCCTCATTGAAGTGTCTTGGTGCCTTTATCGAAAATCAATGGACTGTATGGTGAGGTCGTTAGGTTTTGATGTTGTCACTAACATATCCATGCTTAAAGCTCTTCTGGTTTTGACGAAACCTGATTAGCTCCTGCTGGTAAGTTTAGAGCAGGTGCTATGAAATGTGGTGTGGAATATCTCTACCCATATGGCGATATCAGGAAAGCCTTGGACTACCT